GATCCTAAACTCAAAAACAAAATTAAACCCTTTGGAGATAGTTTTGAGTTCGTCCGCCTTTACAACTTCAAGAATTGAGGGATACCATTTCATCTTTATCAACTCTTTGAATCTTTCATGGGACTAATAGCTGCAACATATCTCATTAAGATCACATTAGTCCATAATTTGGATGTTATCAATACACCAAAACCCACATAGGGGGCAAATGCACTTTCACCCCTTAAGATGAATCTCGTCCCCTAGATTCGGAAGACGTCGACTGAGAGATAGGCATACTTCGTCTCTAGATTCTTCTTTACTTCCTTGTGTAGTTCCATCATCTTGATAATGATCTCACTTCACTTTGCATACCTGTTAACCTTACTCTAAGTAACTTGCCAAACTAATTCCAAGATTCTGACAGGTCCTCCAAACAACTCTCAGGTATCTCTAATCATTAGGCCATCTTTCCTATAATACCAATTCTCTTTATTAAATATCCATCTTCCAACAAAGCCTGATGAATCTCTTGGTCATAAGGAAATTCGACTACCAATCTTTAAAACATTAATGATTCCGGTCAAGTTGCTCGAACTTGAAATACAATTATTAATCCCTGGTGTCACCCGAACCTTCTTAGCACAATTCTCCGTTACTAAGGGCATCGGCCATGACTATGCTCATCCAAGTGATAGCACTTTTCCAAGTCATAATCAACTTCACTCCAACGAGGTTATCACAAGCTCAAGACCAACTTAGCGAAGATGTCCTATAGATTCTTGTGACCCTCCTATATGTCACTTTTACTTCCAAGAAGATATTACTTCCATGCTCCATAATGGATAACTCCAGATGCATGTTGGGTAGTTCAACTCACGCTTCCTTAGTTGACCTAATGAACAAGCCACTACTTTTCTTCTGGTTTAAGGACACATCCCATACCTTTGATAAAGTGCATCATTGTAGATATGAAGCTCTTGTCCTGATCGGGCAAAGCTAATACTTGGGTTTTACTTCAACCTCTTCTTGGATTCCCTCAAACACTTAGCTGAGGTCTTGTGATCCAACTAACTTAAAACTTCTCCAGCAGCTCTACCAATATCTTGAGGATCTCGGATAAACCTTCCTTGAACCTTTAATCCAAACTCATTGAGACTCTAAGTTTCCCTCACATCTTTGGGTACCACCACGCTTCCGCTACGCAATCCAGAACGTATGGTACTCATCTTGCAAATTCTTCAACTTGGCTACCCTCCTTAAGAAAAGATAAACTAGGGGACACCAAGCATAGCTTGTATCTTCTTCTACATGAGCTAACTAATATCTAGACGTTCTGACATCCCAATAATACTCTCATATATGGGCAAGAACAAGAAATCTAGAATTCCTCGTGAGATAAAAAACAATAGTGCAGTAAAATAGATGTAACTCTCATTCTGTTAATCCAATGATATTGTAGCTTATACCGTTGGAAAGCTTATCAAATTCTCCACAACTTACTTATAGAACACTTTTCCAAATTCTGCAATTAACTTGGTCGAAAATAGTGCACAACAGAAACTATTTTGGGTTCCAAACAGCACAGATGCACCGCCTTGTGATTTTCGTATCTCCATAACTAAAATAGATATCAAGCTGATTCTTACGCTCAGAGAAAGATATTGAAGTCTACTATTGTCCAGAATTTTCTCATGATTTGTGGTCGTCCAAAATCAGAGATATAAGCCAAAGAGTGCAGGATACTCCGAAAAGACAGTATAGGGAAAACAGAGAAAAACCATAACTCAACTATTTATCTCACTAATCCTTATATCTTAGGCCTATAAGCTAAATAAAATTGTGGGCAAACCCAATAAGATCATTGCAATCATTACAAACATCCAAAACAAGCATAAATATAATGACAATTCAATAAAGCAATAAAGATGCACAACCCAATCATTGACTCGACTTGCGATACTATCGTCCTCATTGTACTAGGGGTAACAATCCTAAGACTTATCTTCAGATTACGCAAGAAGGTGGTGAGGGACAATTCTAAAAGTATATCAAATCAAGTAGTGAAGATAAGAACAAAGACTTCAAAATAAGCACTAAGGTAGAGATGAATAACAAGTGTAGAGATATAGTAGAAAAAAAATTATTCAAGGTTCATAGAACAAGGGGTTTTGTAGCAACTTCTAAACCTTAAAACAATCAGTTTCTACTAGGCTTGCATCCTACAGTCAGCATTGCTCTGATACCACTTTATAGCACTCGGTTTTAAGAACAAAACCAGATACACACCATATGTGAGCCCAGGAAGTCAAATCTCACATATAGCTACAAATAAGGGTAATATCAAAAGATAATGTTTAAATATATAGCGTACTAATATAAAGAATATAATCTCAGAGTATAGACAGCGGAAAGATAACTCTGATCTTCTGGCGAAGACTCCAAATCCACAGGGACAACTGACTGGTTGATCACAAGCCTAATTCCTCCAAACTCTAGCAATCTGGTACCCATCCGGGATTTTTATCCAAATAATTGAAAAATAAAGCAAGCATAAGTACATGTCATACTCAACAAATATAACATGGGGTTCATGAGGCTCAAAAGGCTAACACTGGTTTAACTGCGATTAGCTTTTATTTATCATAATTTTAGCATAGGAGTAGCAACAAGTTTATCACAAGCCCATAAACACATGATCAGGTAAACATGAATAATGAATAGCATAAACAGTAATCATTAGTGAGCATCTTTATCATTAGTATCATCTGTGTTCATCATCATTAGCCATTAGTGATTATCCATTCCGTAAGGGTTTTAAGGCCGCTCGTGACCGTGAGCACGGCTGATATACCAGTTTTACACTCTGCAGAGGTTGTACACTTTCATTGTGAGTCGTGATTTACCCTTTCGCCTGAGGTGATCAGTCTCTTGACCCACTACCAAGGAAGGTCAGTATGGTTCACTATGAAGCCTTTCAAAGGTTCGTCTAACAAGTTAGGGCCGCTAGGTTTCTGTGACCTGCGAATGTAGAGCTCCCCTTGGCATAATGACGCGTAGCCTATACACTGACGGACATAGGCTGCACTATATCCAACCCAGAACACACTCCTCTTGCGCTATAAAGGTAACTACTAACAAGCTAGAAAAGGTCCTCATACTGAGCTAAAGCCAGAGCCATATAGCCCTCATGGTTGTACTATAAGTCCCAGATGATCACTTATAAATAAGTCCTTAGGGAGAGGAATCTAGAGCACCATAAAACAGCCCAATGCTCTAGCCCCCTTGTTCCATGTTGCTAAAAAGCATCTTTTAATGTTTATTGCATATTACATTAGTTAAGTTACAAGATCATAGTTGTAGTTGAGCACTAGCATAATACTACCTAATGCAATAACCCATAGATGACAAGGCGCAAGGTACAAAGTATTAGGAAATCCTCAGTGGCAATCAAGGTAGACACATGCAGTATAAATTAAATGATTAAATGTGTATAGGACAACAAAGAAGATCCTATGCTATACTTGTCTTAAACACCGATCCGTCGGTAAGCTTTAACCTTCAATCTTCTTCTTCTTCTTCTTCTTCTTGATCACCACGTATATCTCACCGACTGGACTTAAACATAAAGCACCACACAAGCATCCATACAATCATACACGAAGCAACAATAGAACTAAATCAGAACATTACACCAATCATAGAAAAATAAGTGAAAGAGTTTGAAATACGATTCTACGCATCGCTACGAACACACAGACGCGAGAGGCACGCTAATCGGAGCTTCGGTGAAAAAGATACATCTACTGATAAATCTGCTTTATGCGTGAAAAATAAAACTATAGGCTTCATTTATTTTAACTATATAGAAGCTTATATAAATCGAATTAAATCAAATTTAGATTCGAATTATAAACTAAAGTAAAACAAATCATATTTTATCTATAAAATCCAGTTGCATAATTATTAATCAAGATATGATTTAAACCATGAAATTCTAGAAATAGTAATATGATAAACATTGTTAGTAACGCATAAATCTCGTTGCTATGAATCCAACGTAACTTGAATGGGTCAAAACGGAGTTAAAACGCAGAAGATATGAAATAAACAAGATTTCCTTTATTAAAATAATAGATTAAATCTAACCTTGAATTTTAAAAGTTGAAAACATATCTAACAGTAGTATAAACATGTAGATTATGGAATTACGAACCTAACGCAAGTTGAACGGGTCAAATCGGAGTTAAAACGAAGAAGTTATGGCCTAAAGAAAATAGTAGTAAAACTGTAATTAACTGAAAACGTATTTTTGAAGTCAACCGAGCAAAATACGCTTTTAAAAGAAGGCGGCGTAATCTATCTAATACGTAATGGACCGCGGGTTCTATTTTGAAGAAACTGAGGGGCTCTTATGAAATTAAGCTACGCGAAGGGGTATCAAGCCATGTCAGCCGTTAGATCTAGATTGAACGGTCTAGATTAGAACCGAGAGGGGATTTGGGGAAATAACGGCCAGAACAGTGGCCGTCGGCGGGATTTCTTGTCGGCGAAGTTCGATTCCTCGCCGAAGATATTGGGGAAGACCGCTACATCCAAATTGGACTCGGATTTTGGCACGGGAGCTAGAGAGGGCTAAAGCGAATGCGACTAGGCGATCAATTGCAGCTATCGGCGAACGGAGACGGCGAGCGACGACTTATGGCGGCGGCGGAGCAACTGCTACGCGGCGCAGAGCATCATAGGAGGAAAAGAGGAAGAAAAGGGGTTTCACGGGTTCGGAAACTTGACTAGAAGCTCTAGGACGTGCTTACTGTGATGGAGGGGCTGCTAATCGACTCGGCAACTCTATCTTTTTTCTCGGCGGAGCTTGGACAGCGAAGCTAAGGCACAGGCGGCATGGAGGCTACGCTAGGCTCGGTGGGGGGGCGGAAGGGGAGCGGAGGATCGCTATTTATGGGACGGCCTGGCGTAGCTCGCACGATAGGGAAGGAATCGGGAGCGGCGCGGACACAGAGTCCATGGCAGCGGCGGTAGAGTCCGGCTTGGTGACAGACCAAGGTAGGACATAGGAGGCGGAGCTGACGGGTGGGCCCGAGCGGTCGGTGATAGAGGAAGAAAGGAGAGCGTGTGGCGTCCGCATGGATTGGGCTGGTGCGCGGGGTGGGCCGCGGGCAGCGCTGCTGGGCTACGCGGAGAAGCAGGGAAAGAGAGAGAGAGCCAGCTACGCGGGGAAAAAACATTCGGGCTGACTCGACCCACGTGGGAAAAAACGGAGGAGAAACTGTGGGCCTATGTGGGGAAAAGCTGAGAGAGGGAGGGAGCAGGCCTAGGAGGCCGTCGGCCCAAGGGAGCAGGGCTGGTGGGGAGTGGAAGCCAGCAGCAGGCCGGGCCAAAATAGAGAGCAAGAGAGAGAGGTTTTCTTTTTCTTTTCTATTTCTTTTCTTAGTTCAAATCCAATTCAAATATGAACCTAACCAAATTTGAATAGAATTTCAAATACACTTTTCAACTTAATTAAAAATAAAAAATTTTGGTATGTTCTCAAAAATAAATTTTACAACTTTAAAAATTCCTTTATTTTTAAATTTTCTTTTCCTTCTTTTCTTTTACTTCAAAGCCATCTTTAATTTTATTTGCAAAAGCAATTTAAATCATTTGAAGTTTTCAATCAAAACCACTCAACCAAATAAATCAAATGTAAGGGCATGTATGCTCAAACATGTTGCTAGCTTATGATGAATTTTAATTTAATGAAAAATTTTATTTTCCTATATCTTATGTGCACAAAAATTCACAAATAAATCATTTTAAACCTATTTTCAAAAGAGGCAAATTTTGGAGTGTTACGGATGATCCGCCCCCAATTATTTTCCCACGATTTGTTTTTGGTCATTGTAGTCTACGTTGTGATGCTGATTCGATTGGTTCAACGAACCGTGATTTCTCACTCTTTCCAAATCTATTGTTTCACAAAAAAACATAGAGGCCAAAAGCATACTATGGCATCCTTCGTTTTCCTGTTTGCTTTGTATTGTTGGTATAGGATCAGGCTCCCAAGTTGGATATTACTGCCAGAAGAACAAACTCTTTGATTGCAAAAATCCGACAGTTTCTAAAGCGGAGGTGACAGGCATTCCAGTTAATGCTCTTATTCACTGTGATTCTCCACGTACTATGGTATTGCTAAAAATAGGTCAAGCATCAAAACAAATTTTCTTTGAGTTACTGATCCTATTTACCGTAAGAAATTAATGTATGTGTCATCTGACTGCAGCACACCACAGTACTCCCTCTGTCCCGTTATATGTGACGTTTTACCTCTGTATCAAGTACATCAAAGATTCTTTGAATCTGTACATTGGTTCTGTCCACATGCATGGAGCTTTGAATGAATCTGGACCTCCAAATGACTTGCCAGAACGTCAAATAAAATGGGACAGAGGGAGTACATCTCTAACAGCTTCTGAGCCATGTAAGTTGGGCATTTGAAATTCAGGTTCATTTTTCTTTCTCCTCCAAGTTTCCTTCTACCGATAAATTTAAAGCTTCTGCTTGCACTCATTTTAGTCTAATTTCAAGGATGATGACTTTACCACAAATATTGGATATGCCCCTCGGCTCTCAGCGACGTTGTTAAACTACATGTAGTCATCTAAAGGCAATGCTAATTTAATATGTGTTTCTTATAGTTTCAGTAGCATTAATTCAAACTTTTTCTATGCGACATATGAACTGCATGGTGTGATCATATATGTTTCATACTTTCACTCTCGTTATAGTACTAGGGCAACTTCATTGTCCACTAGCAAGAAGATAGAGGAAAAGCAAGAGCAATGGAAGGGAAGTTCAGGTGTGCTCTGAACTTTTTGTTGCTATAAATGAGATTTGTCTTGGAATTTACATTCTTTTAATGTTCAGTAGTAGACTGAATCTTGCAGTGTCACATTTCTTCAGTCAGTTTCTTGTGGTGCTCGAGCACTAGGGACTTTAATACCATGCCGGTTTGAGTCTTTAATGCACATAGCCACATATTTGATTTCTTCCTTTCCTTGTTAATGAATTCAAATGTAGTTATGCTCCTTCGAATATTAGAACCATTGATCTTTGTAATATATGCATATGCAGGTAATGAGGAAGAGTGAAGAAGGGCTAAAATGATAATATCAACTCCACTTTTTTTCGAGTTTTTTTTATAGAAGATATATATGGCTGAAATAAATGCTTAATGATCATGGTTGGTTCATATGTCATTTTCTATTGCAATCAATATATACAGAACTCATGTGCGTATGTATTAAAAAAAGTTCTTAATTTCCTTATCATACTACTGGAATATATCTATTACAAGCTACCATCTCAGATAATATTAATTAATTTATTTCTTATTCATTTGTATATAAATTCTCTAAACATAACTATAAGCACATGCGTGCCGCCATGGAAGAATGAAGCTGAGTTTCTTGAGGCATATCCTTTCGAGCAAAAGCAGAATATATATCTGGAGGTGAGCCTTTTGGCTTTATTATTTTATTTAATTCAGTATCTCTTAGCCAAACATGTTCTTCTAAGAAAGGATAGCAATGCGTTAATCCAAATCTTTGATCTCATTGTATCAGGAACAGTTCCTTTTATGGATTTCCAGTGCACTGAACTTATCATGCCGTCATGGGCAGTCCATCATGACACTGCCAGGCGAGAATATTTACTCAGATTACTGTTGGTTTCAGCTTATGTTTTTGTCTTCTGGTCAAAAGCTAGAAGGTGGAACAAACAACGATTTTGAAATTGGATTTCACGAAGCAAACACTACATTTGTATTAGGGGTCATGAAAAGCAAGTCTGATGACACTTTTGCTGGCTTCTATGGGATCTGTTCTGAGGGGTATCTATTTTATTTATTCTTGTTTTTTTCTCGAACACGTAGGAGAGCTACGTGTCATTATATTAAGAAGAAAAAAATATGAAGCTCTCCTGCATGTTCAAAAAAAAAGAACAAATAAAATAGATCCCTGTTTTATTTTATTCAAAAGCCAATGCACAAAAACAGCTCACATAAGCCAGCTCTGTAAATCAAAAGCCTAAACAAATAGACCCTAAGTGTAATTTCTCATGCTAAGCAACGGTCACCATCTGTCTATCTTCCTGGTGGAGTTTATAGCATAATGATGTTAGTTTTTTATGTGCTTAATCTACCAGTTGGAGATAGTACATGCCAAACTGCATATTTGCTTGCGTTACATTTGTAACTAGAGTTGGTTTGCAACCACGATAAATGTGCTATTTTTCATGGTTTATTAGGCCGATGCAAGTAGAGGCCACTTTCTTCTGCAGAGGAAGGACATGGTAAGACAGGTAGCAGGATAAACAATACATCTTGTTTCCTGAAATTGAGCAGCCAACTCCTGCAGCAAAAACATATTTTTATTATTATCTGAATTCTTGTTATCTATTATATGAATCTCTCGAGTGTGCATTATTATTTCTTGAAATTTTCACTAGTTCCTCCGTTATGAAAGAAATTTTTCATGGACACGTGCGCGCCGCACGTGCCTGTCCACTAGTTCTAGTAAAAGTCGGTGTGCCCCACTAGTTCCAGTAAAAGTCTGTGTGACACTAGAACTGCTCGTGATTTTTCTTAGATAAGGGAATATAACATTCCCACCTCAAACGTTCACAAATAAATGAGTATAGGTATTTAGAATAGAATCATGGTATTTAGGCCACACTCCACCATACAATAATACAAACTTAAGACACAAAAATAAATGAATGAGACTCACACTACTACAGGAATCATTTTGTGTGCAGCGTGGCCAAAATGGGCTCCGTGGCGGGCACCTCTTTTGCCCGCCACGGTTAACCGGTGGCCGGCCAGCGAGGCCGGCCACCGAGCCGCCTCAACTCTTGAGGAAAATGGTTTACATGGTGGGCCACCTTACTTGCCCACCCACAGAAATTGTTATTTATTTACATGGTGGCGGTATGAATCGCCGCTTGCAGTTTATCGATTTACCGTGGCGGGCTCTTTAAATTGCCCGCCGCGGTAAAGAGTTGATTTATCGAGGCGGACGCTTTATCTTGCCCGCCGCGGTAAAGCCTGTACAAATACACAGCACCACCCCTTCATCTTCTCCACGGGTCTTCCTCTCTCAAACTCATGGGGGAAGGCTTTGCCCTAAAATTTGAAGAAAATTTTGATTTGAGTTGAAGGGCTTGGATTTGAGGGAGGAGGACATCATAAGAGGTTCATAAAGGCTCTCCCTCTCTCCTTCCATCCTCTCTCTATTTCCATCACCTAGAGTTCTCTCTAGATCTAGATCTCGACCTAGATCAATTTTAATGGAAAAAATAATGTTATGTATTTCTTTAACTTTAGATTCATCATAGATGCATGCTTCATCTTTCACATCGTCATTTCCTCTCTTTTTCATGATTTTGGACGTAAGAATCATCAATTTCTCCTAATTCTTCTTTATTTAATGTTGATTGTGACGGATAATGTTCGCAGGTATGATGGATAGGTCGGAATGGATGTACCGGATTGATAGAGTGAATGATCCGCGGTACCTCTTTGAATTAAGGAAGTTTATTGCTGCTGGTAAAGCTCACCGTGAGAGACTGAAGCGGATGACAACCATATGTCCATGTTCTCGTTGCAAGAACCTAAAAGCCCACTGAGACAGCGAGGTGCAAACTCATTTGATCATGTATGGTTTCGTCGAGGGCTACACAGTCTGGACATTTCACGGCGAAAGAGTTGGTGCGAGCGGCGGTGCATCTAGAGTGAGCTCTTCGACGTCGACGACGACAGCACCACCGGTGAATAAAGATCCTTTAGGAGCACCCGGCTCCTCATCATCTTCAGCAGCTGCTGCGCTAGCCGACAGTGACAACAGTTGTCATGATTACATCATGATGGATGATCTAATGCAAGACATGGCCGACGAAGTCGGCGACGGTGGGGATGGTCAGGATACTGTGAGCCAACCCGAGGATGTGCAGCTTGTTGAAGATCTAGTCAAACACTTCGATGAAGACGACGTTGTGTTGGGTTGCCCAAAGTGGTTGGAGAATTTCAGAGAGTTGAAGCAGGTGGCAGTTGATCCTCTCTATAAGGACAGCGGCGATTGTCCGAAGGAGTGCACGGCGCTCCGTTTTAACCTCCATTTGTTGATGTTGAAGGCTCGTCATGGTTGGTCAGACACTAGCTTCAATGAGTTGTTAAGCTACCTTGCCACCATGTACCCAACGGCTAACAAGGTGCCCGCCAATACTTATCGGGCCAAGAAGCTGATCCGGCCAGTGGCGATGAAGCTTAGAAAGTTTGATGCATGCCCTAACCACTGCATCCTGTATCAAGGGCAATGAGTATGAGAATTTGATGAGTTGTCCGCACTGCGGCTTTAGTTGGTACAAGAAAAATGCTGGTTGTCGCGTGGATGCAGAAGACGAGGGAGGCTTGCGGGGTGGTCGGAAGAAGAACAAGAAGGGGGCAAAGAAGAGCAGTGCAGCCAAACAGATCTTGGCTCAACAGGACAATGAAGAAGAGGGTTACACGCATAGGAAAAGTCCAGCACTATCGGTGTGGTACCTGCCCGTGACCGATCGCCTGCGTGCAATATTTGGGAACCCGGACGATGCCAAGCTCATGTCCTGGCATGCATCAGCTGACCGCCTGAAAGACGATGGCAAGCTATGGCACCCATCCAATGGCAAGCAGTGGAATTATTTTGACGAGGCCTACCTGGAGTTTGGCAAGGAGCCTAGGCATGTTAGGTTCGCGCTGAGTACCGACGGGATGAACCCGTTCGATGAGCTTAGCAGCTCGCACAGCACTTGGCCCGTCATGCTCACCATGTACAACCTACCTCCCCATCTATGTCAGAAGCGTAGGTACCTTATGCTAACCATGCTTATCTCTGGACCGAAGCAGCCCGGCAATGATATAGATGTGTTCCTGGAGCCGTTCATGGAGGAAATGAAGATACTATTTGATGTTAGGGTCCAGATGGTGGATGCATCCCGCAAGGAGAAGTTCACACTAAAAGCAATCATCTTTGTCACCATCACCGATTACCCCGGTCTCTTCTCACTATCGGGGGGTAGATCAAAGGAAAGAAGACCGGTGCGTAATTTGCATCATCGACGGGACTGCTACACTTACCTTAAGGGATCCAATAAGATGGTGTACATGAGGCACGCAGACGGTTTCTCGCCAAAAATCACAGGTATAGAAGAAGTATTATGAACAAATACTTTGACAATCGGGGACGAGCCGCAGCGTGATCAACCGAGCGCTTGAGACTAGTTGGGGACAAAGGTGTATGAGATGGTCAAGGACATGGATCGGTGGAGTTTGGAAAGAAGAAGAAGCCGCTGAAGAGGGGCCCAAGCAGACAAAGAAGCGAAAGCGGGACCAGACGGAGGAAGTCCTCGCCGCCGTTCCTTTCAAGAAGAAGTCAATTTTCTTCA